GAGGCAGCCCTGAAGCTTGGGGCAGCGGGAGTTTCTTTGCACACAGCTTGTGGGGCTGGCTGAGTGCCTCTTCTGCTTGCCCACCTCTTGGCTTTGCACCTCATCTTCTGCCAGGCATGGAGGGGCCCAGCTCGCCCAGGCTTCTTGCCTCCTGCTGCCTTGGCCCTCTGGTGCACGGGTGAGTCCCCAAAGTTTGACTCTTCTTCTACAAGTCTCTGGCGCTGGAGGTATTCGCCTCCTTCCCTCCTGCCTGCTATGGCTGCATAATTGTGAGAGATTTCTTAACATAGTGTTCCTGCCAGGGAAGCTGGGGACCCTGCCCATGATCCTCACAACAACCCTGTGGGGTAGGTTAGGTAGAGAAGGGGAGATTTGGCCCGGGGTCACTCAGCCAGCAGAGTGAGACTACAAACCTGGGTCTCCCCACATCAATCTGCAACTCTGACCACTGTGCAGTGCTGCCTCTACTGATCTGTAATGTTCCAGAGGTGTTGTAATGTAATACTCAGTTTCTCAAACGAGTGTATGCCTGTCTGTTGGTCCACTTAGGAGTCTTGATCCTGGTTGTGTGGTGGGCTAGTTGTGGCAAATGGTAGGGAAGCTCAGTATTTCTGTATACAGTTGTAGGGGCTTTATTGCAATGTGGTATGGCCTGATATTATGTTCTTATTCCAGTGTGGGGTGTGTGTGGGGCAATGGAAGCTGAGTGATAGGATCTCTCCTAGTGATTGCCAGAAGTGAGATGCGTCCTGGTCTTGTGTCTTACAGATAATCTTACAAATAGTCCTTTGCATTTATATCATGCTTTCAACTTTAAAAGGATCATAATGCTGATTGTGTGAACTTAGGCAAATCACAGGAGGTAGAGTAGGAAGGGTTGCATCAGTGCTTAGTTCTTGTGGCCCTTTCTTACACACCCAGGGAAATGCTGATCGCCATTTTGGGGCCAGGAAGCAATTTTTCTCCAGGCCAGTTTGGCCCAGTGATCCTGGAGGTTTTTTTTTTAATCATATTCTGGGCGTGGAACAGGGGTCACTGGGGTGTGTGTGGGGTATTGGTGAATTTCCTGCATTGTGGAGGGGGTTGGACTAGATGACTCTGGAGGTCCCTTCCCACTCTTTCAGTCTATGATTCTATAATTCATCTAGGCTAGCTGTGGGCACGCCAGGACCTCTGTCAGGCAGAAGCACCTGAGATCCTCCCCCTCCCCTTTTCCTTTGCCCGACTTGGAGGCGAAGGGAAGGGAGAGGGGGGAAAGAATGGATCCCAGGTGCTTCTGCCTGTCAGAGGGGCTGGTGCACACTTCCGGTGATGTCAGGGGGTGTGGCATATGCTAATAAGTTATGCTAATGAGCTACTGCAGCTCTTTTTCTACGAAATGACCCCTGACCATATCTGTATCATATTAATGTCCATGCCATAGCTAACTAATTATAAATTGTATTACTCCAGCATTAAAAAGATATGACCAGGACTGATATTCTCCTGTACATAAAAAGAAGTGACATCCAACATTTTTTTTGTAGTTGAAAATATAGCTCTTATCTTCTGACTCCCTTTATCCAAGTGCATGATTTATTGCTGCATTGGACAAGACAGTATGCAGTTGTAACCACATATGGTTTCATGTCTGATTCATGCCTTTTGGAAAACATTGTCTTGGAGAATGTCCAGTTCTTGCCAGCATCTACCGAAACAAAGCAGTATCTGTCAGTTTGTACAGTTAGGAAGCCCTGGGATTCTTGCCAAGCTTATTGGAAACCTGGCCAAAATGTATGATTGTGGTCTAAATGTCATCATCTGGAATGCACAAGGTGTAATAATAGGTATTTTATTAATTTTGTCTCTACAAATTAAAAGCCCTATCACTATTTTTAAGGGTCTTCCCCTTCAGTACACTCTCTCGTTGTGTTCCCCTGGGTTCAGTACTTGTTAATGAGAGTTCATCTTAAACATTTATCTTTCATCACCAGGAGAGTGGTGTGTAAGTCCTTGGATGATTATTGTTTTCACTTGCTTTTTGTTGGAAATCTTGGTAGAGTCAAATATTAAGGGCTACAACCTTAATTAATCAAGCCAGTTTAACTGATTAAAATCTCTTGCTCAATAAATTTTTTTGCCTCAATTAACTGGGCCATCACCTGAGTGCAATGTTAATTGTTCCAAGGTGAACACAGACTGGCTTATTTTAGGCGCCTACAGAACAGAGTCTGGGATGTATTAAATTTCTGGGGACCTTCAGCTGTCCTTTTCTTTGAGAAAAATTTCCTTTTTTGTTTTTGTGGATGAATATTGCAAAGTATACAAATATTGCATGCTGAAGAGAGGTGAACTAAAAGTGAATGTATGTTGAGCATCCCATGTTCAAGGATATACATTTTTGTGCCCAATTGGTCCTAACCCATTCCAAGGCTATATTGTATGGGAAAGAAGCTTTCAGTGATATCACCGGTGATTGGTTGGATGGTTATGAGTGGGAACTTTCCTTTCTAGAGCCAATTGTGAGAATTCATACATTTTATAGTTTATGGATTATGGCCAAGATTATCAATTGGATGCTGAGCATGAAAGTAAACCTATCCATTGAGTCTTTTTCATACTGTAGAAGGACCTACCTTCTATAGCTGTGTTGTTCAAATTTAAGTGAAGACCGTGGCTTCATTTTCTAAAAAAAACTTTTTTATTAGGATCACAGTACCACTGAATCTACCAGTGGTGAAGAAGATACCAATTTGGACTTTCTCACGAAAGGCTCAACAGATGATATGTACATGAAACTAGTAAGCACTTTTAAAGAAATACTTTAATTATCTTAAGACCCAGGATTTCTGTTTAGACAAAAAGAGAAGGAAGGAAGGAGGAAGTCAAGCCCGAAGATTACCGTGGGGAGGATGACCTCACTATTTGCATCTCAGAATATGAACTGAACCTTGGTACTTTCTCCTCTGCATTTCTCTCAGCATTTACTGAATTCTTTCACAAAACTTATACCAGGACCCACATGATTGAGTAACTTAAGCCCCATATATTGACAACAGAAAACTATGTTTGTGGCTATAAAATAGAGTGGGGGACAGTAAATGATGGAAACATATCATGAAAAGGATCAAGCTGTTGTATGTGAATGGCATGGGAGAATGATATCAGGGTGGTTAACATTGTGAACTGGAAGGCAGGCTAGATGCAGACACTTTAACACTATATAGGCTTGTTATTGAATACAATGGAGTCTGGTTTTCTCCAGATTCATATAGAGCAGGTAATAAAAATCCACTTGCCATATTGATGCACATGCACAAATTAAATGGCAGCAATGCAATGTAGCAGTATGTAAACCAGGACTGTCCCCCCCCCCCAAATTCTTTACCAAGGTTATTTAAATTCCTTTCTAAGAATTGTTGAATTTTGCATTCTGTGTACATTTTGAACAGGTAATGTGGATATTTATTTTATTTATTTATTTATTTCATGGGATTTCAATCCTGCTCTCCCCCGCAGAAGAAATTTGTGCTTCTGCACTATGGTCATTGCATGTTAAATATATAAACAGACACACATACAGAGCTTTCCTGTTGTTGGCTTCAGAATGTTTCATGTGCTTCACATGTGGTAGTGCAGATTAAATAGTCACACAATGGGAATGCCATATTCTTAGGATTTTGGGGATAGCAACAACTGGTTGGATCTAGACTCAGTTTTCTGTCAGTGGAATGGAACTCTTCCGCCTCCACTTCCACTGCAGCCTACGGATCTCTATGAAATAGTGCTTCTGAGTGATAGTTAATCCTGAGGAATGACACAAGGGAGGTATTGCAGTGAGAAAAGGAAATCAGTGGAAATTGCCAATTTAGTCTGGATCCAAGCCAGTATATCTAATCAAGTGGCAGCCTTTTTGAAAGGCCTGTTTTTCCCTTCATGATCTACCCGTGAGTGCTTTGCACTGCAAGCTGTCACCTTCAAAAGTACAAACTCACATTACAGGCAGAGTTCTGAACTGGTAAGTATAGAGAATTATAGAAAGGTGGCATTCCTTTGCAATTCGATTGCTATATCCCCTGTAATATATCTTTGAGTATTAAAGGAGCCCTAAGAAAATGGTGTTTTTGAAGAACAGGCTACATTACACTTTCAAATAAAAAAGTGATAGGTTCTCTTCTCCCCAACAAGCAAGTAATTTTAAATCTTCAGTGCTGACTTAACAAGAAAATAGCTTGAGTGACAGCTTACTGTGTTTTTGAAATGTGTGTTTTTGGTTTGCTGCATCATACATACAAAATAATAAAGCCTGTGTTTAGTAGGAATCTTTTTTCAGCTTGAACATTAGTATAGCATCAAAATGTATATCCTTGAATCGGTCCTACCCAAACATCAGCTGAATCTATTTATTTGCAAGCTTCAAGAAAGGGGGACTCTTGTTAATATTTCCCAGTATTTCTGTGACATAGTACTAGTTGGCACAAGGACTACTTGTATGTCTGCAGCGTACAACATCTATTAGTTTTATATTTTTCAACAGTATAAGGCGTCTCTTAAAATGATGCAGCATCATATCAGAGGACAGAGTAGCTTTATACGGTTTTTTGCTGCTGTTCTCTTCCTGCTTCTTGTTTTCTCAGTCACTCAGAATCAGGCATTTCTTATTTACCTGGTTACAGAAAATTGATGCCAATGAGCACATATTCTGTATTAGAAATCAAAGAACTTTCTACATTATTTGCAGAAGCACAACATGTAAATTGTAGAACAGATGTTGCTAACTCCAAATTAAAGAAAACACTGCACATTTCTGTGTGAGACAAGATCTGTCTTGAAAAGCTTTGTCAAAATATAGCAGTGTCTTCCATAGTCTGCAAAACTGAGTGTCTTATTTCTGGACAGATTTTTAGAATGGAAGTTTAAAAATACAGAAATAAAATAAATAGGATTCATATTTTGTGAATGGTATGTTCGGGATAACCTTTAACTCTTTGTGTGTTGTTTGTGTTTTTAGAATGTTGGTAACGAGACAGAAAAAGATATGATGGAGAATCAGCAAGTTCTGTCAGAACAACCAGAAAATGTGTGTATTGAATTCCCTTTATTTCTTAAATTTGAAACCATTTTAATGTAAAATAGTTGATCCTACTGGCAATTTTTTTAAATCATAAAAATATTTTTCCCTTTTGTATAGCAAAATTTTGAATACATTAAGTGGCCAGGGGAAAAAAACCTTTATAAAATTAAATAAATGAGTTTAAAAGGGTTTAACAATATACCTACTTTGAGTTCTTTCTTTTTCTTTTCTCCCCTTCCAGTTCCGCAATCAATTAAAGCAATCCAAGTCTTCAGCAGTAATCCCCATCAGTTTACATGAGATATCTTTGACGCCTGCACCATCGTTTTCTCCAGAGACAGAATTCAGCACCCAAAGTATGGACCTTTTATTTACAACTGTGAATACCTTGCATTCTGTACTGTAATCTGCATAATTCTTTTTTTAAAGTTTAGATTAATGTTTTAGTTCTTTGGATATCATGTGCCCTTTCAAGATAACACTTTGATGTACAGGAAAAGATATGTTTATTCTCAAAGTGCAATTATTCTACACATTTAAGTTTCTTGTGTTTTCTCTCTCATTTGGTCACAGGAACTATGTCTGGTATAAATTTAATAAAGACATTGCTGGCCTTTGACCCCAACAAAGTACTCTTTACTAACATGATATGAGAGTCAAATAAACTTAAAAGTAAGCCTTATATGTAGGGTTGCCAGCTCAGGATCGGGAAATACCTGGAGACTTTGGGGGGTAGAGCCTGAGGGGGATGGGGTTTGGGGAGGGGAAGGACTTCAGTGGGGCGTAATGCCACAGAGTTCCACCTTCCAAAAGTGGTCATTTTCTCCAGGTGAACTGATCTCTGTCGCCTGGAGATCAGTTGTAATCCCTGGAAGCTGGCAACCCTACTTGTATATGAAAACCTTGGGGTTGCATTGAGGATGCCATCAGGCTTGGTTTATCAGTTTTTTCTTTGGGTTGATTTGACCCAACTTTTAGACTAAAGAGCTACCTTGATACTTATGATGAGTATATTTCCTTTTCGGTTACTTTCAGTTGTATCAAAAGTATTTCTAAATGCAGTGCCACAGATGTTTCCCTTTGTCTTTCAGAACAGGGCAATCGGCTCTGACATGTCCAGTTCGCCCCCTGTATGTATCAGTGAACTCAGAGGTCATTTTGGGGGGGAACGCGGGGGAACACAGTTCCCCTGGGTGAGGTGCGGGGGCGGGGCACACGATGAAGTCCCGCCCCCTGCTTCTGGCCGCCCCGCTTCCAGCCCTCATTCAGCCAGGAGGAGGCAGGAGAAGAGGGAGGGTAAGTTGCTTCCTCCCCGCCTCTCCCCACCCCTGCCTGCCTGGGGCCAGGGAGGGCCTTGGCGGGGCTTCCTCGCACTCCCGCCGGCCTTGCAGGTCCACCGCCGAGCCCCTGATGCAAGGGGGTGTGGCATATGCTAATGAGTTATGCTAATGAGTTCCCCTAGCTCTTTTTCTACGACACGACCCCTGAGTGAAATGTTACCTTCCATTTCAATGTATCTGAGGAAGTGTGCATGCACACGAAAACCCATACCTTGAATAAAACTTTGTTGGTCTTAAAGGTGTCACTGAACTCAAACTTTGTTCTATTGCTCTGATGAAAGATACATGTGGAAATTTTGGATGCAATCCATTATCCTTGATATTAAAGTCTTATTTAAGATAAAAGTGTATGGAACAATGAACTGTAAATGTTGGAGATTTAACCACCCAAACATGGATTTTAAGCATATTGCATAGTCATGTAAATCCACAGAAAAACAGAAAGACATTATAAGTACCATAAAAGGTATTATTAGTTATGAACTTGTATTTGATCCACCGGTACTTTTTTTTAGGATTTCTTAAGAATGTGGTTAGGAAAAGCCAACTAAAGTTAGAAGTTTATTAATACTGCTCACATCCTAATTATAAAATATTGGAAGTAATATAAGCTCCCTTCAAAGGAAGAATGAGGAAGGAGGTTTTGACGCACTATGCTAATGAACAAACTAGCACACTATAAAAGGCTATGGGAAAGCATGAAAACTAACCATCTGTCATTCTTGGAACAATGGACTCCTTTTATTTCTTACTGGAACAAATTCAAGCTGTATGAGAATATGAAACAAGAAATATTGGCTGCGAAGACATACTATGTGAAGTTTTGTTTGTTACGAGGGGGGTTTCTGTTTCTCTTTGTAATATTTTATAAGAACACAATACAATTTAAATTAAAATGGTGCTCTAGACCATAAACGTGTTTTGCAAGTAGAAAACAAGCACAATAGGGAACAGATTTGAATCAACCCTTACCCTTATTTATATCTATGCCTGCAGAGTTTTTAATAAGGAGAGTGAATTCATTCCCCCCCCCACCCGAAATAGGGTTGCTAACTCCAGCTTGGGAAATGTCTGGAGATTTGGGGGTGGAGCCCTAGGAGGGCAGAGTTTGGGGAGGGGAATTACCTCAGTGGGGTATAATGCCATAGGGTCCACCCTCCAAAGCAGCCATTTTGTCCATGAGAACTGATCTCTGTAGTCTGGAGATCAGTTGTAATTCTGGGAGATCTCCAGGCCCCACCTAGAGGTTGGCCACCCTAACCTGAAGTGGCACCATCAGTTCACCTAATTCTAAAGTCCAGGCCTTAGGGCTGATTCACATGTTACCTTACCGCTTCTCTCTTCACTCACAGAATGCTAAATGAGCAATGTAATATGTTAGCTATTGGGCTCAGAAATCATTCTCAGCTGTGGGAATTTTTTCAGTCACCAAAGCTCCACTGTGCACCTTGTAGAGCACAGATGTTGCTACAGCTGAAGTTCATACATTCTTGTGAGTGGAACAACCAGCTGGTAGCAGTGAAAAGCAGCACTAAAAAGGCAAGAGATTCAGGAGTCATAGTTTATCAAAGTGCCATGTGATTCTTTCCTATATGCTCTCCTACATATGAACCAAGAAAATTTATTGAAAGGCAGGTTAGGCAACATCATTGCATTTAAGAGGATTGCTGTAATCCTGAGAGTTCATATATTCAAAGCAGTGTTATTACAATGCCTTGAAAGCATTTATTTGAGATTATTCTCCTTGACTATTCTGGGACCTGGAGAAGGCAATGATTCAATTTAACTTCTGTTGGACTACTCAAAGTGTACTTATAAAATCTATGCATGTTTCATTTTAATTGCTTTTATTGCTGTTATATTGCAGTGAGCTAGCCTGTTTTTCTCTGTTGCGCCAATCAGATTACTTTGATGAGGATGCACATGCAGACTTGAACACTGTTTCTTTTTCGTATAGTGCTTGTGCTTCAATTGTCTATCATCTTTTGTCTTTGTAGGCAGCTTTCCACCACCTTTGGTACTACTGGATCCAGCAACATGCCCAATAGTTCCTGGCCAAGAAATGACTATAGAAATATCTAAGGGACGATCAGGCCTTGGCCTCAGCATCGTAGGAGGGAAAGATACACCACTTGTAAGTCCCTTGTTTTGTTTTAACACTACTACAGCTGGAGCCAGTTTGGTGTAGTGGTTAAGAGCTGCGGACTCTAATCTGGAGAACCAGGTTCGATTCCCCACTCCTCCACATGAAGCCAGCTGGGTGACCTTGGGCCAGTCACAGTTCTTTCAGAGCTCTCTCAGCCCCTAAAAATAAGATTTGGGAGTGGAGTCTGGGAAGGGTGGGGTTTGGGGAAGGGAGAAACCTCAGTGGGGTATAATGCCATAAAGTCTGCTCTCCAAAGTAGCCATTTTCCCCCTACAGAACTGACCTCTGTAGTTTGGAGATCAATTATAATCCTAGAAGATTATGAGGCACTGCCTGAGGGTTGGCGACCCTAGTCCTCATGGTGCTGTGAAATAGCAGGCAGGGGCTGACGTCGCCTTCTGCACTCCTCCTTACAAAGCTCTCTGATCAGGAAGTGTGCGGGGGGGGGGGAGGGCTTTTAACATGGGACTTCAGCCATACCATATAAAGTGAGACTTGACTGGTACTTTTAGATCTTCCTAAAGAACACTGGTGAATACTTGCATGGCTTCCAGCTCCATTAAAACATATCACCAATGTATATGATTACCTGCTGTGTTATTTGTCATTAGAATATAACACTGAGTTAAACCCTTTACCCAGTTCTGTTGGCACTGACTGGCAGGGCTTTCCAGGGTCTTCGAAGCAAAGATCATTCCTAGCCTTGGTCTCTGAGAACTATTTGTCCAGAGATACCAGGGATTCCTATGAGAAGGAAAAATGGGACGAGCCTAAAGAACCGAAGGTGGCTCCATAAAAAGCTTTCTAAGGACTTGAAAAATAAAAAGACTTATTCAGAAAGTGGAACCAGTGCTTATATAGAGAGAGTTAGGAAAGCTAAAACTCAGTATGAGCTTAGGCTAGCGAGAGATGCTTAAAACAACAAAAAAGGGTTCTTTTCTTATGTTCAAAGTAAGAAAAAGAGCAAGGACATGGTAGGCCCATTGCAGGGACAGGAAAGTGAAATTGTAACAGGTGATGAAGAGAGGGCAGAACTGTTCACAATTCCTACTTTTCCTCAGTCTTCTCTTGCAAGAGAAATGGTGTTCAACATGGCAAAAACAGAACACATGGAGGGAATGGAGTTGCAGCCAAGGATTGACATAAACACCTAGTTTCTTTAAATGGAATGAAGTCTTCGGGGCCAGATGGGCTGCATCCAAGGGTACTAAAAGAACTCGCGGATATAATTACTGAGCCTCTGTCCATTGTTTTTGAGAACTCTTGGAGAACAGGTGAGGTGCCAGAAGATTGGAGGTGGACAAATGTTGGCCCCATCTTCAAGAAGGAGAAAAATGAGTGTCCGGGTAACTACCAACCCGTCAGCTTGACGTCTATACCTGGGAAAGTTTTAGATCAAATAATCAAACAGACAGTCCTTGAGCATTTAGAAAGGACGGCTGAGATTACTAAGAGCCAGAATGGGTTTCTCAAGAACAAGTCATGTCAGACTAACCTTATCTATTTTTTTGAGAAAGTAACTACCTTGCTGGATCAGGGGAATGCTGTAGACATAGTTTATCTTGATTTTAGTAAGGCTTTTGATAAGGTTCCACATAATGTACTTGTTGACACACTGGTAAAATGGGGTTTGGATCCTATTACTGTTAAGTGTATCTGTAACTGTTTGACAGATCGCACCCAAAGAGTGCATGTGAATGGTTCCTCATCTTCTTGAAGATGAGTGACAAGTGGAGTGCCTCAAGGATCTGTCCTGAGACCTGTTTTGTTCAACATCTTTATCTATGATTTGGATGAAGGGATAGAGGGAATGCTTATTAAATTTGCAGATGAGATTAAACTGGGGGGATAGCAAATGCGGTAGAAGACAGAGTCAGGATACAGGATGATCTTGACAGGCTGGAAAACTGGGCTAAAAGAAATTTAATGAATTTCAATTAGGATAAATGTAAATGGGTATGTTTAGCCTGGAGAGGAGACTACTGAGAGGTGATAGGATAACCAAGTACTTGAAGGGCTGCCATCTAGAGGATCTTTTGGAGTTGTTTTCTGTTGTCCCAGAAGGTCAGACCAGAACTAATGGGTTGAAATTAAATCAGAAGAGTTTTCGGCTAAACATTAGGAAGAACTGACAGTTAGAGGGGTTCCTCAGTGGAACAGGCTTCCTCGGGAAGTGGTGAGCTCTCTTTATTTGGAGTAGTGGTTAAGTGCATGGACTCTAATCTGGGAGAACCGGGTTTGATTCCCCACTCCTCCACTGGCACCTTGGGCAAGCCATAGTTCTGGCACACCTGTTCTTCCAACTCTATGATTCTGTGATTGAACCTCAGACACTCTGTATGCAAAGCACATACTCTGCTGAGTGCAACCCCTCTGCTCTGGGACAGATTGTTGACTCTGTTTTTGCTGTTCTATAAATGAGTTCTGCCATTTAATATAACATCCCCTCTCAGTATGTTGGTGTTTCATGTATTAATTCTGTTCCATTATCACAAGATTTAAGAAGGTTGCAAGGCTAATTTGTAAGCTGTTTAAACAATAACTCCAAAATGCACACATTTCGTTTTTACATAATTACTAATGCAAGCTTGCAACAACTGCAAACTTTGTTCTGAGGCAAAACATAAATATTTCATTTTTGGTGGGGAAGATGCCAACCTCAGATGGATCCACTTTTTTGTGTGTGTGCCTTATCCCTCCCTCCTTCCCCACATGAGCTCACAACCGTGGTATTAGGTCATTTTATTTTTATTCTTGGGCTCCAGCATCAACAAAGGAGGACTGAGGGAGTGTGTGAAGCCCCTCCCAGAGCACGTGACCATTTAGGAGCCAGACACTGACCCCTTGATGCTTAAGAGATCTACCCTAAAGATTAAAAGGGCTGCAAAAAAAATTGCAGCAGACGTATCCCAAGAGGCCATTCAGTTCTGTGACTGAGCTCAGGCCACCAATATAGTGGCTAGAAGGAACATATGGCTAAAGCATTGGAAGGTGGACCCTCTGTCTAATTCATATTTATCCGTAAAAAACAAAAATGGGAGCAGAAGGATTTTTGGAGCTCCTACACCTTCAGCTATAGGTACAGATTCCAGCAGAGACGGTTCCCTCCTATCAAACAGGATAGGAACAACAAAAGAAAGACCAACCACCTGACTCTATGGTTGAGGGGCAACTCTAGCAGTTTCCCCACATCTGGGTGGACTTTATGACTGACCAGTGGGTACTCTCCATAATCAGGAAGGGACACAGGATAGAATCCCCCCCGCATCACTTCTTTGCTTCCCCACTTCCCAAGACAGAACAAAGATACCTTTCTTCTGTTGTGACCTATCCAACATTTAGTGAACAGTGGAGCAGTGGAATTGGTGCCCTTAGGAAAGCATTTCCATGAGATTTATTCCATCCTATTTGTAGTCCCAAAAAGATGCAGGGACTGGAGAGCAATTCTAAATCAAAAAGGGGTGAACCTATGGATGAAGAAGTACAAGTTCCGGATGGAATCACTAGGCAGCATTCTGCAGAGTATTCAGCAGAATGATTACATGGCGTCCTTGGACCTTCGATATGTTTATCTGCATATTCCAATTCACCCAGCTTCCAGACAGCTCTTCCTTTTTTGATTTTCAGGGCCAGCATTTCAAATACAAGGTACTGGTAGTTCTAATAGCCTACCTACAACAACAATTAATCCAGCTTTATCCTTAACTAGACGATATCCTCCTCAGAGCCAAGGAGGCAGATTTGATGAGCAAGGACACCAAGTTCACTATCCAATCTCTTCAGGCACATGGCTATCTGATCAATGGTTTATAAAAGCCATCTCACACCCTCCAGGGACATAGTCCACTTAGGAGCCAGGATTCAGACTTAGGGGTCAGGATTCAGGATTCAGATGAGGATAGCCAAAGTGTCTCTGCCTGCAAAGAAGCAGGTAAAATTGTTAGAAGTGGTTAAAGAAATCTGGCAGAGGTCAGTGGACATCACGTACCAGTCAGCAATACTGGGGCTGATGATCTCGTACATAGATCTGATTCCTTGGGCCCACTTCCACACCAGGCCTTTACAATGGACTCTTCTTTCTTATCAGAAGGAGACATGCACGCGCGCACACAAGGGAGCACAAATAAGTCAAGATACTGCCCCCCCCCAGAAGTCACTAAGCTAGTGATCTTTGCCACCAAATCTGATAAGGGGAGTCAGTTTCTTACATCCTCCTTTGTTGTTCAGTCGCACAGTCAAGTCCGACTCTTCGCAACCCCATGGACCAGATCACACCAGGCCTTCCTGTCTTCCGCCGTCCTCTGAAGTTTGCTCAATTTCATGTTCGTTGCATCTATGACACTGTCTAACCATCTCATCCTTTGTCATCCCCGTCTTCTTTGGCCTTCAGATTTTCCCAGCATCAGGGTCTTCTTACCTGCTGGTAATTACAGATACCAGCAGAAGGGGCTAGGGAGCACACTGTAAGGATCCAAGGCAGATGGAGACCATAGGAAGAAATGAAAACTATGAACTGGCTGGAACTAAGGGCAGTCAGACTAGCACTGATGGCCTTCCAGAACCTATAACAAGTATGCGCTAGTGCGCACAGTCAGTACTACAGCCAAGGTGCACATCAATTAGCAAGGAGGTACCAGATGGATGGTGCCCCTCTGGGAGTCCAAAATCCGGTTTGATTGGGTGGAGAAAAATTTGGTAGCTCTGAAAGTGGAACACCTATAAGTCTAAGAAACCTCCAAGCCAACTGGCTGAGCAGGAAGGATTTTAGATCTAGAAAAGATCTTCCAGCAAAATCATACTTCATTTCAGGATTCCTATCTTGGATCCTTTTACCACACCAAACAACAGTCAGGTTGCCAAGTTTCTAACCAATTTCTGTGATCCCAGGGCAGAGGGCAAGGACACACACACTTTCCCTTGACCCAGTGGTCTGCTGTATGCCTTCCCTCCAGCCACACTGAACAAAGAGGCAGCGGAGGTGATTTTTA